TCGTTTTTTTTTTTTTTTGGTGTCGCTTGTCTTCTCGGGCGTCTGGGTGGGACGTGGACGTTCTTGTGTGGTTGTTGGAGCACTTTCACTTTTATTTTATTTTATTATTTTAATTTTTTTTTTAGAAGCTCCTTTATCCGTTGTTGGGAGGTGATTTTTTCGTTGACGCGTTTGGAAGCGATGTTCGAATGAGATTCGAGAAGCGTTTCCTGGTCTCGTGTGCCGTTAAAAGACGAACGCTAGGTCGGTTCCGCTCACGCCCAAGACGCGGAGCGATATGCATGCGGGGAACGGTTATCGCAAATGGAAAAATGAGGCCCCGGACTCGAGCCGTGAGTGATGAATGGGGTGTATGCGCTCCGACGGGGTCGTGTGGGCGTCGTTATTACCTGCGACTCCTCGTTCATTACGTAAGGTTTGTGTGCTCGATCGAGCCGTATATTGAAAAATGAGAGGGTATTAAAGGGAAATTTAGGGAGGCAATCGGGAGCCGACTCGCATCACCGAGCACGGGCGTCTTTTCCCTCGATGAACCTGACGGATGACTCCGGATTCGCTCCGAATTTCGGAGGAAATTTGGAATTTTTTTTTTCGTTCGGTCGGGGTGTCGGGCGAGGTTCGGTCGGTCGGCGCGAGGTGGCTCTCGCGGCGGAGATTGATATCTCGGCCGCATTTCCACGCTTCCTGAGGAGGGAATAGGACGTCGGGGAGCTCATCCTTCTTCGTCAATGACCAGAAGTCTCTTCGGGTCGTTTGTCCTTAGCCGGGAAAATCCCTTTAGGTGAGAGAGATGGCCGAGGCGCTGTAACGGGTGTTGCGTCGTCGTAACGGGTGACGCGGAATGTCGGATCGGCAGGGGGTTTCCGGTCCGGTGAGGAATCTTCCGGGCTTGCACGGGTCTTTCGGAGACGATGTGTGGGACCATGGGGCTTCACCGCGTCCCAAGAAAAAGGCTTCTGTTTTGTTTCACCGTGGATGGTTTAGGTTTTGGCTTCTGAGAACGACTGATACGTTGCGAGATCTTTTTCTCACGTTCTTTCGGTGTTCGAAAGTCCTCGTCGAGAATTCAGGCTCGTTCGAAGCGGATTAGAGTAGTTTTTGGATTAGGGAAGTTTCGGGATTAGCTTATCGGTGCTTATTTGGTGAGCATGAAGTAATTTCTGGGGGGAAGAAGAGAAGTTAAAAGAAGGAGAAGATACGGATTGCCAGTAATCCAAAAGGAAGAAGACGAGGTAAGAGAAGAAATAAAAGCGGAGGAAGAAGAAAAGAGATGTCTGTGTGCGGGTGAGGATCGATTGGGAAGAAGAGAAAGCTGATATCCCTTCCTTCTTCTATCTTATTCCACTTGTTCTCTCTCTCTCTCTCTCTCTGGGGGATGCCGAGATGTTTCTCATCTGGTTTTCATCTTCGCCGCAATTCCTTCTTCCCCCCCTTTTTTTTTCTTGGCCTTGCCGTTTTGTAATGAAGGCCAGTGGGGGTCGTCGCTGCGGCTTGGGAGTTTTCCGAAGGAATTTTTTTTCTCTGGCGAGACCGAATCGGGGTCTGTCGGGATCGTTCGGGGTTCTTTCTTCTCGATTTGGTCGAAAACAGGGAGGAGGAGAGGGGAACACGAGCCGGGGAAGTGAAGCGGAAGAGGGAAAAAAAAAGTATCCCGTCATCCAGCTTGGGGGTTCTCCCATCGATGAAACAAAAGAAAGAATAAAAAAAAAAGAGACTCAGTTGAGCTTTTTTGTCATCTGCACAGACGCTCATTGTAGGGGGGGGGAGCATGCTAGGGTCCACATGGTCCGCGGAGGGGCCACACCTGCCCCCTGGCTCCGTGGGTAACATGGGTAACATCATCTCGTCACCTTCGACTGTTTGCCTTCCCAACTCGTGTTACGTTTTTTGAGAAGATGGCACCTGTCTCAACATGGAAGCGATTGCTCATCGAGGTCTCCATCTGTTTCATCCGCTTCGTTCCGTGCCCACCGCGTTCCGTGCCCGCGGAGATGGGGTTCAGAGCGTTCCGAGTTCGAAGGGGAATTGTTTATTTGGATTCGATTTGGAATTGTTTGTTGATCTCGATCGAAGCAAAGGGTGCGACCCTGCGGCCGATGAGAGGACGAGTCGGAGCCCCGTGAAGGTCGCATGGCAGATATGTTTCATTTGACGGTATACATTTTTTTAAAGTTTAGGTACATAAGTTTCGACCGATCAGAAGTTTTTTTTATTATAATTTGCTCACTCTAAGAGGAACAGGGGGATCGGGTCACTCCGGCCACCAATTACAATTAAAAAACGGTGTCGGCATGGCAGCTGCCGCAATTAGGACGCGTCCAATGAAACAAAGAAGAACACGGCTTTGTCCATTTTGGTCATTATACACGATGCCCACTTGCGTAACAGGTCGTTTCCATAGACGACCGATGCGGAGTGTACCCGCACGTGATAGCCCGCCCTCGATGTGGGAACTCTCTGTTGACATGGGAACGCCGACACGATGGAGGAATGGCATATATGCTCTGACGTGGCCCCGGCTGATCCCTCGGCAGCGTCCACTTTCGCTTTTTTTTTCGGGACGTGACGGAGATGTAATGCGTCCGGGTTCGTCGTTGATGATATGGTCGAGGTAAAGAGCCTCATCACGGACCATTTCCGAGGCTTCAAAGTGTCAGATTAGTTTCTTTAAATATTCGGACGGGCCATGGGGTTCGCGGACGAGTAGCTCTTTGGGATTCGAATGACAGAACCGCGTCTGGACGAAGAAGCGGCGCGAGTCGCGTCGTTTGCATGACGGTAGCTCGTTTCGTGCCGAGGCCCGGAAAGGGTTCGAGGCTCGAGTGCGGGAACGTTTCATCGGATCGTATTCCGTAAATGATCGATTGGGTTCATTTTCGAGTGTTTGATCTCCGAGAAAACCGCCCCTGAGACGTGTTCTCCCCGTTGCAGTACTCCTACGAAGCCGAGACGGGCGAGTACTCCGCCTCCGTGACCGTGGTGTGGAACCGCGTCCACCACGTGGACACGGTCGCCGTCCGCCTGTACAAGTGCTCCATCCTCGGCTCGCACCGGGACCATCCCGACTGCTCCCTCTGCCTCACCCGTCAGCGGGAGTACAACTGTTCGTGGTGCGGGCACTCCTGCTCTTACGCCCCCACGTGCGGGCACCCGCCCACCAGGGAATGCCCTCGACCCAGGATCGACCTCGTGAGTCTCTTTTTTTTAATATTTATTTTAATTTTATTCGGTGACGAATGGGTGCGGGGCGTCGAGGGACGCTCGAGACGGCGCGATCGGCGGTTCCTTCGGTAGTACTTGACGGTGCGCCGAGTACTTGTCGGCGACGTTTCGAGTTCGTTAATGAAAGTCACGCGAGAGAAAGAAGGAAAGGCTTGGAAGATGGATCTGCCGTGCATCATTTCGCACCGTGCTTCCCCGCGAGGGAACAGGTGCGTGTACGTACCGCGGAGGGGGGGCGTGGCTCGAATCCAATCATTACATTTTCAATGTATCCCCTGTGAAAGCACCAAATTACACATCTTGCTTCACGGCTTCTGCTCCCAAATTGTTCCCTCTCTCCCTCTTTTTTTTTCTTTCTCCCAGCGGAAAAACGTAATTTCGGGAGGGGAGAGGCGATTACGGTCGGCCCCGGTCTGCATTGACCTCGAGGTTAAGGATTGCGTGCACTTTCCCTCTCTCGCTTTTATATTTAGATGATATGAATATTTAGGGGGGGTTTCGAAGGTGGGGAGGGAGATGGGGGGAGGGGAGGGAGATGGGGGAGGGGAGGGAGATGGGGGAGGGGGTTCTCTTTTTTGGGGGAGCCCGTGTCGGAGACACGTCCCTGGACGCAATTAGAGCCGGAAGTGATGGATCAGCGCCGTATACGCCGTAATCCAATGATCCCATTCCCCGAAAAAACCCTGCGGATAAAGGCGCGTTTATTCCTTCCCCATCCATCAAGTTCTCACCCTCGTTTTTCCCTCGTCGCTCGGCGAGTTCCATAACTGGCAAGTTCTCATCGATTCCTGCGAAGCTCATCGACAAGGGTGGGGGGGAATGGGGTGGGGAAATATACGAGAACGGGAATGGTCCTCTCGAGACCTTTTTCCGGAGTCTCTCCCTTCCGGTTTCGTCGAATTCATCGAGGAATACAGATCAAGGACGGGCTGTATATGGGAGCGGGGGGGATCCTGCTGGGCGGAGGGCTAATGAAGTGGAAGGGATCATTTTAAATTGGGAAAGGCCATGACCGTATCGTGGCGATGATGCTGATGATGATGACTTGCTGGACGGGGGAGGAATCCGAGATATCTCCTGGCGTTTCCGCGTTTCTTTACAAGGTCGCTTCGATTGTCTTTTTTTTTCCTTTTTTTTTTTTCTCGGAGCAATGTTGGGGCGTGAATGTCGCGAGCTCGCCCTTTCGAGGCCTATTAAAAATAAATCGGGAGCTATTGCTGTCATATAGTCGAGGACGAAACTTTGGGGAATGGGGGAAGACTGGGCTGATTAAATATCGATCCCGATCAATCCTTACTTGTCTCGAGGGAGTTCCCGAGAGAGAAACGATCCGGCCTGACCGGATCCGACTCGGCCGGATCCGTGAGTGATGCCAACCGCTATTTTTGCACAGATCCAGCCGCTGAGCGGTCCGGTCGAAGGAGGGACGCTGGTGAGGATCGAAGGCTCGAACCTGGGTCTGAGGAGAGAGGACGTGGAGGGGAGGATCAGGGTGGGGGGACAGCCCTGCCATCTGGTGGACTACGAGGTGAGCGTGAGGATCACGTGCAGGACGTCGCCGGCGCCGGGTCCGGTATCAGCTCCCGTGGAGGTTGGGAACAATGCGGGATTCACGCAGTCCACCGTCCGGTTCTCTTATCGGGTGAGTCCTTTTTTTGCAGTTGGAGGAAATGAGGTCTCGAGGAGATGGGGGGTGGTGATTGCACGAACGGTCGAGTGTCATGTAAATGCAAATCGGGTATCGAGTGGAATGGTTTTCTTGGTGGTTCGATCGCCGTGTCTCATCTCTTCAATTTCTAGGTTGCGGGATGGGGTGATCGGGGTTTGGATAAGGGGGGAAGAAAAGAAACTAAATTGATGTGGAACAGATGCGTCATGAAATTGACAAAATTTGGAAGAAAATGAGTTCAGATGGGGACTAGACTTGGAAGCGTGCGTGCTTCATTTCCATAAATTGTCATAAAAATAAGAAAACGGAATCGTGCAGGAGATCAAGGTGGAGGGAGTCTACCCCGCGAAGGGACCCGAGAGCGGCGGGACGATCCTGTCGATCGTGGGCGAGGACCTGAACGTGGGATCGTCGATCCGTGCCTACCTGGACGGGCTCCCGTGCACCCTGATTCCGGGGGGAGGGTCGTCGTCGAGGGTCACGTGCAAGACGGCGCCGAGCCAGGGTCCCAGGGTCATCCAGTCGCTGACGCTTCACGTGGACGCGGCGAATCGGACGCTCCCGGGGAATCCGTTCAACTATACGAAGGATCCTACGATCATGGAGATCAAGCCGCTCAAGGTAGGAGTTGATTCTCGGCTCGGTGGGGTGCTGAAGGGGTTTTCATCTAGTTTCACCCCAGGAGGAAAATGTATGGAAGTTTGTTTTTTTTTCTTTTTAGGGGGGGTTTAAGTGCTCCGGTAATTGGTTTAAATTTTCGTCATCTGAGGTTAACAGTTTTTTATGCATATGAAGGGTCATAAAGCAGGTGAGATTGGACGGGGAAAAGTGCCGTTTTTATTGCTAATAAAAAATAGAGAAATGGGTTACTTGCGGATGATTCACGGCTGCACCCGTGATCGCGTAAAACGCGTCTTTCTTCTCTCGTCGTGGGGAATATCGAGCGATGTTGATGGATTTTGGTGCTTTCGTGACAGAGCTTTGCGAGCGGGGGTCGGCTGATGACGGTGCACGGGACGAACCTGGACTCCATTCAGCGACCCGAAATGGTCGTCTACATGCAGGACACCCCGAATCCTCTTAACAAAACCGTAAGATCCTTTTTTCCCCCCTCTTCCGTCCTTCCATTCATTTTTTTTTTTCTCATTCGAGACCGTTAAGGTATTGAATGGGATTGGCCTCCGGGGGCGAAGTCATCCCTGTTGATTTAACGGCGGGGATCGTGCAACTTTTTCCTCGCATTTTTTTTATGGCTTCGCCGTCGAAAACGCCGGCGAGTCCGAGGAGTCGGACGAGCGACTTTCTTTTCCACCTCTTTGGCCACGGAGTCCAAATAAACACGGCGTAATCGCCTTTGCACGTAATCGCCTTATGCGCCGGTTTACTTCGGTCGCTCACGGGGCTTCTTTCACGGGGTTGGTCCGGCCACCTGTTGTTTATCGTGAGAGGCTCGTGGAGCTTTGTGGGTTGCGTCACGCGCGGGAGTCGTGGGAGAGCAGATGGGGATGAATTTTATTTTGCGGTTCCCGTTTCTCAGTTTCGAATTTATGAGGGACATTTTTGGTGCCAGGCGTGGAGATTTTTTTTTTTTGGGAAGGGGGGGGGGAAGGGGGAAAGGGGGTGGGTTCAGTCTCGCTGGGGGTTCACGGAAAACTGCTATATATAAAAGATAATGGAGTTTTGGGGGGATCTGGCAGCCGTGATCGGAGACCGGGTATTTCCGATGAGTGATGGCGGAATAAAATTGAAGAATGCGGCAATATTTGCGGAGCCGTTGGGAGCGGAGACGCAGGAAATTGGGGGGAAATTCATCCCCATTCCAGGGTTCCATCCTTCAGACCGCTTTCCTTCGTTATCCGAGGACGCATTCCTCCGTGAGATAGGGACGAGATGGTGAGACGCTTGCGTGGGGTTGTTGTTGGAGACCGGGCAGGGAGCCGATCGGTAGGGCTTGGAAGTGCACGGGGTGCCTGAGAGAGAGAAAGGGGGCAGGGGGGGAGGGGGGTGGAAACGGAAAAGTATAGCAGATCGTAAAAGCGTGACAATGCGCCTCGTTTCCCGACTGTGGATGAACCGATGTTCACGGCGAGGAATATATGGCACTATGGGTTGATGTCTATGCGAGGAAAAAATCCCAGACTCCCCTCCTCCTCCACGTCTAACTGACCTCCTTTCCCGTGTCCTTGGACGAAGGTGTGTGCCGTGATGAGCAGTTCGTACATGGAATGCCCGTCCCCGCCGGTGGCGCTGGATGCCCTCGTGCCCTTGGCGGAAGGGGAAGGGGAGGACGAGCGGCAGAGGCGGGGCGTGCCGCACCGTCCGCCGGTCTTCGCCATCCCGTTTGGCGTCCGGGTCGGGTTCATCATGGACCAGGTGGCGAGCGTCCAGGACTTGACGGACCACTTCCCGAACCTTCGATCCACGCTGCTCTACGTCCAGGATCCCAAGTTCTACCAGTTCCCCAGCCTGGTGAAGCTCTACAAGGGAGACACCCTCGTCATCGAGGTAGATGCCAACTCTCGTGCCTTACCCTCGTGATCCCGCTTATGTAATAATCAATTTCCTAACCGTCGTCTGTATTCCGCGTGGTTGACGGGACCTTCGATGATCTGAACTCGTGTGCTGATAGGAATTTCTGCGCATTTGTTATTTGCAAGTTGCTCAATGTAATTCTTCGGATTTCGCTCTGCGTTCGGTTCCCATTACCTCTGTAATTAAGACTCGGCATTCGAGAGAGTAGAAAGTGGAATGGAATTTCGTCTCCTATGAGAAAGTAAGCGGTCACGAGTCGCAGACGAATCCAAAGAACTCGGGAAACGCAGCCGGACGTCCGCTGACCCTTTACGTAATCGACAGGGCGAGAAGCTGAACCTGGCGGCGGACGAGTCGGACGTGAACGTGACGATCGGGACGGAGGCGTGCAACGTGACGTCCCTGGCGCTGACCCAGCTGGTGTGCACGCCGCCGGACCACCAACCCCCCGGCACGGACGAGATCGGCCTGAAGACGAAGGAGGGCCTCCCGATGGTCGTGGTCCGAGTGGGCGTGAACCTCCGCTACCCCATCGGGTACCTCCAGTACGAGATGGTGAAGCCGTACGAGTTCCCGCCGGTGGCGGTGGGAGGGATGGCGGCCGGCGGGGCCTTCCTCATCCTCCTCTCGCTCGCCATCCTCATCGTCTATCGGCGGAAGAGTACCCAGGCGGAACGGGAGTACAAGAGGATCCAGATCCAGATGGACACGCTCGAGTCCAACGTCCGCTCCGAATGCAAACAAGGTCTCTTTCTCTTTGCGAAATCCTTGGTAAAATGACGCAATCGCGTGCTTCGTCGGCGCGATCGGTTCTCACGAAGTTGAGGAATGCAAATTTACCGATCATGGTCGTAAGTAAACTCACGTACGCCCGGATGTGAGGATTTGCCGATGCGAATGACTCTCTCCCTCGTGCAGCGTTTGCAGAGCTCCAGACGGACATGACGGACGTGACGGCAGACCTGGAGAGTTCGGGGATCCCGATCCTCCCGCACAAGGCATACGTGATGAAGGTGTTCTTCCCGGGCGTGTCGGACCACCCGATCCTCAACGACCCGAAGGTAGTCGGTCCTCGGTTCCGTGCATTGCGTCGTACCTGTTGTGGATGCGGGAGAGAGGGATTAAAGAAGAGAGGGTTGCGTCCCGGCGATGCATAGGCATGAGGGGGGGATATCAATGGGATTAGGGTGCTCTTGCAGGGTGCTCCTCTCCGAGGGATACCAACTGAATTTCATGAATCCCTAATGTCCACAATCCTCTCTGCCTCTGATTCGAGGGATTCTCTTGTTTATGTGCTCCACCCCCTTCTTCCTTGTTTCTCTTCCCCCTCTTCTCCTGATGAAAGAAGGGAAAAAAATCTTTCATCCCTCCGAGAAAGTAATTTCGCGTCTTGGGGATCTCCCCTTTCATAGGCCGTCATCGATTTTTTTTTCTTCGTTCTACTGTCTTGTCTCTTTTCTCCCGGTCTTCGCTTCGTCAGGCCGGATCTCCGGATTTTTTCCTCCCGCCTGCGGTCAGCCCGGATCCCGTTAAGGTTGTAAAGCGGGGAGAGGCAGACATGGAAAGCGTGAGAACGGGGAAGAGTGTGCAGCGTTTGCTGGGTCGATATCGAGGGGTTCATGCGAGAAGGTGCCAGGGTGCCTCCCAGGGTGCACCCTTCGTCTCGAGAAGAGACAAAAGCGGGGAAAGAAGGGGAGGGAATAAATTACCCTGAATACCCAGCTGACGTCATTCTCATAAAAGAAAAAGAAAAAGGGAAGGTGTTGGTTATTTTGACCCCTAGGATAATTGGATGGGTGATAATGAGCACGTGTGTCAGGATCCCAGTGGTTTATGGACCGAGTTTCTTTTTTTTTTTCTTGGTCCAAATTAGACCTCTTGTGAGAGAAAAGCGTGAATGGATCCAACTTTAGAGAATAATCATTCTTCCCCGCTTAGCCGGTGCGTCTTTTTCGCACCTGGACTGGTAGGCGTACGTTTTAGTATCGGTCGGCCCCTATTTAGGGGGGAACCGTTATGTTTGGCACCTGGTTTATTCATCGATGGTAATTTCCGCAGTTTTGAATCCTTGAAGGCTCCCGGAATCGCAGTCTGTAACGCATCATAATTGCGCTATTAGGCTGAAAATTGCCAGGAAATTTTAAACTCCATTTTAACCGATGGCAAAAGTTATGGGGGAAAAAGGCGTTCTGTGGCGTGAATGATTTGCCGCATCAAAGATGCTTCGGCCAATTCTTTATACAATCGTAAAATGGAATTTGAGCATTAGGAAGCCCTTGCGTGAAAATTGAGAATCTTACTGTGGGTTTTACGATTATTTAGTACATTATCGCGATCAGTCGAGTGGATAGAAATCCACTCAAGTGTGAGGGGCAGTCGACGATGCAAACAGGAACGGATGAATGACCGCGTTTTGGATTCGATGACCGACAGATGCGGATCACGGGCCCGCGGACGAACTACGACACGGCCATGGTGCAGTTCGAGCAGCTGATAAACAACAAGTTCTTCCTGCTGACGTTCGTGGAGACGCTGGAGGCGCAGAAGTCCTTCACGATCCGCGACAAGGTGAACGTGGCCTCGCTGCTCATGGTGGTGCTCATGGGGAAGATGGAGTACGCGACGGAGGTGTTGAGGTCGCTGCTGCTGAGGCTCATCGACCGGACGGTGGGGACGAAGTACCCGCAGCTGATGCTGCGGAGGACGGAGAGCGTGGTGGAGAAGATGCTCACCAACTGGATGGCGCTCTGCATGTACGACTACATGAAGGAGTACGCCGGGTCCTCGCTGTTCCTCCTCTTCAAGGCCATCAAGCACCAGGTGGAGAAGGGGCCGGTGGACGCCGTCACGCACGATGCGCGGTATTCGCTCTCGGAGGAGAAGCTGCTCAGGGAGCAGCACGAGTACAATCCTGTCGTGAGTGCTTTTGGCGGTCTCGTTTCGTCACGGTACCTGCTTTTGCATGACGGTATGGGCGAGGTACAATTTAACAACTGAAGCGAACAATAATATTTGAGAATCTTGAACATTTCCAACTTACGGGTAGAAATCCAAGCGCTAGATTCAGATTTCTTTTCGTGCCGCTTGGAAATGACCTTGAAGGTATAGCACAGAAATGTTAAGTATCGAGCTCGTCTCGGAATGGACGTAGGGATAGAGGATGAAAGTCTGAATGTGCTGGACATTATCGGGCATCATTTCCGGAAATGGCCCGTGTCCCTTCAGAAAGGAGAAGCCCATAAAAGAAATGGTAATGGTGATGATGATGACGGGAGGGGAAAGTCTCGTTTTTGATGTGCATGACAAATCGTACACGTCCCTGCCAATACTTCCGCCGGTCTCATGCATCTTGCACGGCATGAATCTTGTATGAGGGGGGGGACAGCCCTTTTTCTGTTTTGCCTCTTGACTTTGTTTCCGTTATCGTAGTGGCATTCGTGCTATATATCGGCTTCTCTGTTCTGTTGTAGACGATCCACCTGGTCCAAGACGATCCGCACTATGAAAAGATCCCCTATCAAACCTATCAAGTAGGTGCCTTGGTAGTCGGTGTTGAAATTTGAGGAAAGGGCCCCGCGAAAAATTCCACAAGTACACGTTCCCCCGTTTTTCTTGCAGAGCCTGCAGGTGGTGCAGGAGGAGCTGGACGAGAAGATCCAGTGTCGGGTGCTGGACTGCGACACCATCAGCCAGGTGAAGTCGAAGATCCTGGACGCCCTGTACAAGAACACCCCGTTCTCCCTCCGTCCCTCCATCTACGAGGTGGACCTCGAATGGCGACACGGGAGGGGAGGACACCTCATCCTCCAGGACGAGGACCTCACCACCAAGACGGTGAACGGGTGGAGGCGGCTCAACACCCTCGCTCATTATGGAGTCCGGGAATCTGCTGTGATGTCTCTTGTGCCTAAACAGAGCCCTACTTTCCCTTCCAAACCCTGCCACAATTGTAAGTCGTCCCCGTCTCGGTATGCTTTCTCTTTTACGCTAAAAAAAAAAGAGACGCATTGTCATGAACGAGACATTTCTCCCGGCCGACAGGCTCGAGTACGTACACGATCCCGAGGTCCCTTTCCCCGTTGTTCTCGAACGGGGACGTGGAAACGGGATGCGGGGGGAACCTGTACCACATGGTGCGACCTCTGGACGAGTGTCATTCGAAAGGCGATCGCGAACGAGGACCCAAGGCCATCCCCGAGATCTTCCTCACCCGTCTCCTCTCGACCAAGGGAACGGTGCAGAAGTTCGTGGACGATCTCGTGAGCACCGTTCTCAGCGTGAACGAGGCGCTTCCACCTGCCATCAAGTGGCTCTTCGACCTACTCGATGATGCTGCCCGCCGACACGGCATCTTCGACCCCGAAGTCGTCCACGCCTGGAAATCCAACAGGTACTAGGGTTGAACCTGTGAAAGTTGTCAAATCCCGTTCGTGAGCTTCTACATGAATTTCGATCGATCGTGAACGTGGAAAGTTTTTCTCTTTTTAGTCTTCCTCTGAGGTTCTGGGTGAACTTCATCAAGAACCCCGACTTCATGTTCGACATCAACAAGACGACGACGGTGGACTCGTGCTTATCTGTGATCGCCCAGACCTTCATGGACGCCTGCTCGACGACCGAGCATCGCCTGGGCAAGGACTCTCCCTCCAACAAGCTCCTCTTTGCCAAAGACATCCCGTGTTACAAGCGAATGGTGTGCAAGTTCTACGCGGACGTGGCCGCCCTCCCGCAGGTCACGGACCAGGAGCTCAACTCGGCCATGCAGCAGCTGAGCATGGCGCATCTCGGCGAATTCGACGTCGTCTCCGCCCTCAAAGAGCTTTATATCTACGTCTCCAAGTACAGCGATGCGGTGAGTCGTCGGTTATCGGTCGAAGACGGATCCCATCTCGTTCGGTACTTGCATAATTATTTTTTTTCCGTCGTGCAGATCCTGGACGAGTTGGAGACGGAGCACCACTGCAAGAAGCTGCACCTTGCTCACAAGCTGGAGAACGTGGCCTGCACTCTCCAGGGCGAAGAGACGTCCACGTGTTGAGGAGGAACTTCGCTCTCTTGCCTCTCAAAAACAATAATACATCATCTGTGATCCCCCTTGAATTCGAGGAGACTCTTGTGATCCCCGTGAGAAACCGTTCATCTTCTGGATTTTCGACAGCACCGCCTTCTCGTGCCTCGTTTTCGACTATTCGATTCACCATGACATCCAGATGATTTTTTTTTGTTTTTGTTGCTTGTTGGATCTCAAGGCAGAAGGGGTTAAGTTTTTTTTGTCTAATGTATTGGAAACCCTGTCTCGCTCTTATTTTGTTTGGAGATGCTAGTCGCAGATGTGAGCCCTGTCCCTCTTCTTGCATTTGTTTCTCCCCATCATGTGATCTTCGTTCGATTCCGAGTCTCGTCTCCTTCCTGTACTTACGAAAGCAAAGTATTTATGGCGTCTATGCAAACGTGGTATTCTTGGTGTCCTGTCCTTTTCTACGACCATGCAATCGAGTTTTTTTGTGTAGATACTAAGGGTTATCAGATGAGAAGAAAATGGTGCCATATTGACCAAAACGTGAACACTGGTCTTCTTCATTTAAAAACAGTTTCTAGCCCGTGTCGAGGAGCAAAAGATCTCTATGATATCGATTGCATATATAAAAATGAACCAGGACACGTCCGAGAGGACATTCCTAAATGCCCATGCCATGAGACATCCCAAGGACATGCCACGGATGAATGGATGGTCTTCATCAATCCCAACCATTCTTCGAATGAAGATGGAAGTTCTTCGTAATCTAGTTCGACAATGAAGCATGTCGCATTCCGCTTGCGGCATCATTTCCAAGTATGAAGCAAAAAGTCGAGGCATGCTAAAGGTGGCATTCTTGGTTACTGGAACTAGAAGCACGAGATCATAAACCTACATGACGAATGCTCCTCGAAGCATAAGATAACGTGGAACGAACAAGTATTACGACCGTACTTACGAGTGGGTTCGGCATCTGGATATAAATAGTCCGGCTTGGAAAATATTTAACCGCACGCTCTCGGCATTCGGATGAACTATTCAGTCGGTCTGAGATAGATCCCACGATCCCGCGGGGGGGGGGGGTCATTTTAGGACATGGAAACACTCCGCCGACAGGAACTCGCTCTCGTCCCGTTAATTCGAGCGACCTCGAGTGATTGTGAGGCTTCGTCCACGACTAATTGAAGGGAGAAGGACGTCGGGGGAAGTGATCCGTCTCCATCGAGCCTGTTCCTACGGAGTCGAGTGCTCGGTTTTCACCGGGGGCCGGGTGTGAAATTCTCTTCGAGGATTCACGCGGTAATTCTCGCCGAATTATCGTTAAGGAACTTTCTGGGGGGCGCCAGCGCCCTCATTCTTCCCGTGGGAGGGGATTGGGAGTGTCACTAATCAGAATCGGTCTAATGAAGTGCGGTTCGGTGCCAATTAGCGAATTGGACAGGGAGGAAGGTCAGACAATTCGAGGAAGGTCAGATACACGTGACGTTCCGCTTTTCGGTACTAAGAGGAAACGATAGAGGACATCTATAACCGCATCATAATTTCCTTCAGCTAAATACAAGCTGGCGATTTGCATCGACGAGGTATGTTTTGCGTCTCAGCTGAATTCGACGAAATTTGTGACTGAATTTGAGGAAGAATCGATGCCCGCTCGTGAATCTTATTATACTGTATGTATATTTACCTTTTAAATCATTGATCTTGCCATTCTGTCGTAAACCAGACCTTCAGTAAAAGAAGCCTTTGTAAACCATTACACACCAGACCAGTGAGTCTGACCGCTGATGGCATCGTCGTTCCGAGTAATGGCAAAATGGTTACGCTGTGACGTCACCCGAAAAATGGTACCAGTACCACGTACCCGCACGTGATGACGCGCGGGTAACCGCCTCGGTTTCGGGTCGACCGCGCCATCAGGAATCGACAAGCCCTCCCCGACCCCCCGCACCAGGTTTAGCAAGGTCGGACCCTGCCGATACGACGGGATTAGGATAGACGCTCGTCTATCCTAATCCTCGACCGGTTGCCACATTCAATAGCTTCTAGACAAAGAAAGACAGGAAGAGATAGGATAGACACGACGAAGATAACACACGGGTTGTCCGAGGAGTTGCCGAGTCAGGATCGCCCGAGGAACGAAGGAGGACCACGGAGGGAGGACCGTGGAGGAGGACCACCCTTGGAGAAGTCGGGACTCCCCGCCGGTTCCGCGAAACCCATCCCCGTGTTCTCCCTTCGAGTAGAAACTGCATTACACTCGGATTCCCCGGAGTCTCCCATGTTCCGCGGAGGCAGATGCGGGCGTGGGAAGATCCCGTCGTCCCTCGCCGCTACCGATCCGCCTCATCGTTCGCACCGGAGTACAACAATCGGTAATGAAAGATAAGGGGGAAAATTCAATTTTTTTTTTCCCCCTCCCAATTTGTGAATCCCATTCCACCCCATCCCCCCCGTCTCACTGACTTAATTTCTCGTGGTGTCGAGTTTTAATTGGAAAAATAAAATAGTACCAACGTTGACGAAAGTTACAGCCCACGAGTGCGAGAGCATTTTCCTTCCCACCGCAAAATAACACCTTAATAAATTAAATTCGCAGCTCATCGTCGACGAAATAAAATAATCAAGGCCGTTCAATCCTCCCAGGCGACATCGCAAAGTAGACGGCAAACCGAGACGGAAAACAAATCCCCGCTTACAAGGAGACTCGACAGAGAAAAACCCGACCACAAACCCGACTTCTGCCCTTATCTGCCCCGAAGCAACTTTCCCCCTATGAACCCATCACACCCATCCCATCCTCCACGAACATTCTCGACCGGCGGAGACGGCCCCAGTGGTTCGATCCCAGCCGGCCCCACCCCAGGCTCCCTTTGGGTACACACTCTCCTATTTCTCGCCGGGTTGTTAGGCTGCTCGCACCCGGAACGGCGAAGAGAAACAGGAGGTGTGGGAAAGTAATGGGCTTCCGCCTATCGGGGAGGAGGCCCATTACTTTCTTTTATTCATAATTTTTTTTTTTTGAGCTGAATTTCATTTCCGTAATGGCCTTGACCTTGGCACAATTCCAGATCGAGCAGATGGCCCCAACCGCCGAATGTCTGCGAATTCAACTTGAAAACATCAAGTATGATGATGATAGGTCGGATCCTCCATAAATTTAACATGCGACCTCTACGAGTAAGTTCGCAGACACACAATAGAAAGTCCCAGTAAAAAGTGCAGGGTGTCCCAGATTTTATTTTAAAATTGAATCAGAAATGTCTGAACATTTCATCGGATTTACAGTATATCTGATATTTTTCATGCAGCTAAGTTCCAAACGCTGTGGTTCTTGAGATACAGCTAAAAAAGTTGCATATTTACTATTTTCGCATGTATAATTTTTTATGCCTTTCTCCAAACAGCCTCTCACACGTGACGCCATCTAAGATCTGCACGCAAAACTTGTCGCCAGATAAGGATAAAAAATACCATATAAATCAAACTCTCGCGTTACGTGTTTCTGCGTCAGCGAAATCTCGCTTCAGGACGAAAAAAAGGCAAAACCATCACAGAAGCATCGATCCGCAGCGAGAATTCAGCGGACAAACGGGCTGAAAACCGTGTCGAATTCACAGTGATTAATGCGCGAGATGATGAATGAACATTATAAATACTGATAATATAATTAATAAATATTGATTCGTAGGTTTTTCTCCTCCTCTTCAAACTGCATAATCGCTCGATTTCGCCTTTCCAGCTTTTGTCTCAAAAACTGCAGCACAAAATCAAGCGAAACCTTTCTGCAAAAAACTTAAACCCTTAAAATAATGTTAAAATATTATGAAAAAATTAAAAAATCCTTAATTTATACGACCAGTGCGTCCAAGAACTTCAGTGCCGGCAATATCCCTGCGACTCCGCCTGGCCCAACAGGTATTTCGCTCGGGGCCGAGTATAGAAAGACGGAAAAAGCAATCCCACTTTTAGAATTGACCTGTCTGCTAACGATCACTCGTCGCGGTCCCCTCCTTGCCCGGTGGGGAGAAATCTCCATGAAGCACTTTGGAAATCCTCCCGCGAAGGTCACCCTCGCGTGGGAGTGGCCAGGATCGGTACCAAGTACTCGGTACCGCGTGCTCAGTACCAAGTACTCGGTACCACGTGCTCAGTACCAGCGAGTCGCTTCGTAGTCGATCGAGATGATCACTCGGCTGTAACCGAGAGCTTCTAAATCCTAACTCCTAATCCTAATTCAGTCGTGGTTCATCAATCTTCGTAAGCGAGGATCACTGTCATCTTTGGTCGTGTTTGCACCTCTCAACCCCGAGACATGATGAACCGTCCGGAACCCAAACCTCGAAAACGTTGAGATTCCTCTCACTGGAGGATCCCCCTTAACCTTTGCCCGAGGCGCAACTGCGATATTGCTCAAGTGTTGTTTCACAGGCCTCCATCACGGCCGAGAGGATCCCCTTTCTCCCTCGAGGAGTGAAACCCATTCCATGGTTTTTCGAGTCCATTACTTCCGCGATGTGGAGTGCTTTTCTTTCAAAGTGATTCGTTACCCCACTCTGTAGTGGCTTTTAATTTATTCCTCATTAGCGTCCCGAGGGGCAAATTACAATCGCTCGTGACCGAGACGCCCATGTCAATCACCGCGAACTAAAAAGAAACAGCTGAGATCAATCCTCCGGAAACTCAAGAGTGCAAAAAGCGGGAAGTATCATCCACCCAGTGGCAAAAGTCAGGAAGTATCATCCACCCAGTGGATGTGGATCACGACGCCCAGAGCCATAAAGGGAGACGGCAGTGTGATCCGGTCCTGTCCACTCTCGTTTCCACACGGAATGCCCAGAGGCCGTCCCATTCATAACATCATAACAATCCCGATATTTACGACCCTGTTTCTTCATTCGATGGATATTGGAAGAAACACGCTCCCGTTTCCTCTGACCCACATGGAACATTCATAATACGGAATGCGAGCGGCTGCCAAGAACGAGGGAGCAATCTTCCATCTGCTCTTGTTTAAGCGTCGAGTTTACACGTGTGGAACAATGAAATTTTTTTATGCCTACTCACGTATTTATAAACTTTTTTGCGCCTCTGAATCTATTTTGGCAAGCAAGCTGAACATATTTGCGCGATTCGGAAACCGACAAGCACGAGTGCTGCCCCACCGTTCCGCGTAATCGAGGTCCAAGTACGAATGACCTTCCAGGGTTGCCCAAGGTCTGCTTCGAAAGCACATTCATACATTCAAAAACTCCTATACTCTAACACCCCGACGTTCATCTCCCTGCATTCGAAAGCCTTACCAACCTGTAAATAAATAAATAAATATTATTTTTATATGCTGCACTTCACTCGATCCCCCCACCCCCAGCCCATCCACAGAGCACGTGGACCAAGAACCACGTGATTGCATCAGCTGTCCCAGGAAAAGGCGATCGTGTCGACTCGGACTCGGCCCACGTCCCCGACCAATCCCTTGCCATGCCCCCCGGATATACCCTACAAGTGGACCGTCCGATTCCGCCTAGAAACAAACCTAGACCATCCGTGGAGTGCAGTCGAGTGTGTTTCCCAGCCCTTTCCCCTTCTCGACGGAATGACTCAGGTGAGGCACTTTTATGATGGCGAAATTCGTTCTAGAAAGCACCGAACTATCGACTTTCTCCAGGGATCTGCAGTTACCAGTGGTAACGGAAGGGTAACCTCGACTCCCTGCTCGGGTTACCCTTCTCGAGCCCATTTTTAAAGCCAAATTTGAGGCGCGAAGCAAAGTTGGCCACGATGCCGACTCCGAATTCGTCACACTTCGTTCTTCGATCCGCATTTAAATTCTCGAAGTACCTGCACCTGCGCAATGCAGGTCCAGGTGTCGGCGCACCCGAACCAGTTCCAATCGGTGAAGGCTTTTCTGCGACAAGATCCGCGGCAACCCTGAGCGTCGGCGATTTCGAAGACTTCTTTTTCCTTAGCCATTTTCTTCCTTTAACTTCAAACAGCTTTTTTTTCCGGAATGATTTCGACTGGTGCGTCATCAAATGGAAATGACCATCAGAACTTTTTTGCCCGCAAAAGTAGGATCTGGGATAATTACTGGGATAATTAGATCCCAGAGCCAGCAAGATGAAACTTTACTATTTTGTATCCCACAAACTTTTTTTTAAAAGGTGTTTTGCACGCGGAATTACGAACAATTTCACACTGTTGCTGCTTCACTGCCGAATTTGATAAGCTCAATATTTTGCCTGGGAACTTTTAAAGGATGCAACATCGAATAATAAAAAAATACTACATAAAAGATTCCCTCCTTAAAAAAAAAAGTCCTACCCCAGAAGTGCATCGACATTTGAATCGATCGAGAGCGAACGCCGTCGCGATCGTCGCGATCCCCATGGCGACTTCGCAATGTCGGCCGGATTCCCTCGAGGCTCGCAACGTTCTGAACACTTACCCGGTCCAGTAATGTCTCGCATTACGGCCACGCATTACAGCCGGCTAAAATTCCTCTGGGAAAATCAATAATTGATTTTCCTCTTACGATGTCGCATGGGCTCCGATGCAGCGTTTTACTCTTCAATTTTCTTTCCTTACCAGTTCTATTCAATTAAATACGCGGAGGGGGTTCTGTACATTAAGCGATTCACGCTAATTTTTTCCCAATGGACGCATGTGATTTTTTTTTTTTTTTGCATCCGACAGGCCAAGACGGAAGTTCCATCGGAATGCCTCTTGACGGACTTGAAGTCCTCGGACTTGATGGACTTGGTGGACTTGAAGGACGGGAGCAAGAGGTCCTTCAGGGATTTTTCGGATTCCCACGTCTCTGAGAGCATCAGGGACCGGGTCAAGCGCACCTACTTCACGATGCACACCTATCAGACGGTCGAGTTCGTCAAAAATCGGGTTAGCGTTAATCCCATGGGGATGAAGAATTTCGTTAACTCACCTCGACGGTTTCATCGTCTCCCTACTCTTTCGTTTTAATTTTTCACACGAACATCGTTTCAATTTCCTTTTATGTTCCTTCGAATTGCGTCCGGTTAAAAATTCAGCAATTCTGGAAGGGGAAACTTTAAAAATTTAACCGTTTGGTCTAGTCTAGATTTCCTTTCCCTCCGGCAGAGGACGGCGTGGCTGAGATTCGACAAGTTCCGCGCCCCGATCATGTCGGTCCTGGAGCGGCTGTCGGACGTCCTGGACGAGAGCGACCCGGACGTGGACGTCCCCAACATCCACCACGCCTTCCAGACGGCGGAGGGGCTCCGGGCCAGGCATCCCAATCTCCCCTGGCTGCATCTCACGGGGCTCATACACGACCTCGGCAAGGTCAGGTTCTTGACCTTACGTGTTCGTGGGATGCGTTCATGCCACATTTACACTTTTTTTTGCGTCGGAGATTCTCATTATTCTTGCTCATCGGATGGGAACCGTGGCCATGTTGGCCGGGGCGAAAGAGGCTCATAACTGCAAAAATTTTTTCATGTCTGGATTTTGAAACTTGTAGGGTTTCTTTTAATAGGTGCCTCGTGGCAGATTTCCTGTCGATAACGTGGTCGCGTGCCGCCCCCAACGGAACAGGACTTCCGTTTCTCCTCCTCGTCTGATTGATCCCATGCAATTCTAACTACAATGGAACAGGTGGAACCAGGCAGCCGTGAATAGAGTCGTTGCTATGTCAAAAGGAGGGGAAAAAAAAAAAACAGAAACCTGTCAGGAACCATAACTCAAAATTCCGAGCACGCATGCAAATGCATGCACTCCCTCGTCGCCAAGTTGTTTTTCGAGCACAAATCACACAGCCGCCAACCCGTCGACCTTGGGAAGAGCGTATGACCTCGTCTCTTCTGTCAGGGACAGAGGATTGAGCAACCTTATGATGAACAACAACCCCGATCTTCGTAAACAATTTTTTTAAATGCATTTAAATCGAATCGAGTTCCAGCGTGAATGCGGTTTGCAGTAGTTCACGATACAAGTCGCTCTCGTTTCAAGGCTGAGGTTCATCCCACCAGTACTCGTGGACTTTTTCTGGTCCTTCTTAAGCAAATTACATATCTGTTCTTTCATGAGCTCATGCTTAACAGCAACTGCCCTCGGCACCTTGGTTGGACTGAAGGAAATCGATGATGAAATGATAAAATACGCGCATGTTTTCACGGTACTCAACGTGACGTCGTTGAAGAAACCCTCAGAGAGAGATCCCCCTTTTACGATTTCAATAGCCACTCAACAAGACAGACGAATATCCCCAAAGAGAGCAGACGGAGACACGGAGCAATCTCCCCGGTGAAATCCTCGAGACTCAGAGCGGCGCATTCAGATCGAACACATCCCATTCGGGGGGAGAGGGGGGGAGGGGCTATCTCGACGGGAGCAACCAAATCGCCAGGCATTAGGGAAAACAATGGGATTGGAGGCGTGCCACCCCGGCCGGTAACGAGTGGCATCAGCGTCGCAATCATGCTCGCGCTGTAAATAGGGCATTCTCCGTTATCGTGACGAGATTCCTTCGGTCGGGGGCCGTCGAAGCGCTTATCGACGGGGGAAACGCGATATGGGGAGTGGGAGCGATCGAGGCTCGATATCGAATCGATGGGATTTGGGGGAATATTGGCGATCGGCGGAACGGGGGGAATTGCATCGAGGTTTGCCACGAAAACGTATCAGTTCTTTCAGGAAGAAGATAAGAAATGATGAAATAACTTATATAAAATTACAAAATAAATGACTGGGGGAAATGCAACAGGTGAGAATCATTTCATTGTATATTCCTACATGCAGATCGTTTCCGTTTCGTTCTCGGCCTTTTCTTAGCTCCCTTTTCGGACAGCGAGATATCGGCGCACAACATTAAACGCTGAACTAAAAATGAGGAAAATCTGTATTCATTCGGGAAATCAACCGCCTCTTGGCAAGACTATCATTCGAGAAAATTAATAAAAACTCTCCATTTTTTGTGCATTTCCTCTGCTTCCACACAAAAGCAAAATATGGCTTAAAATTTCTAACGCTTAACTTGAACCTTTTTTTTTTCATAGTCAGAATAAGAGAAGGTGGACATGCATAGGGTGATTTGGGGGAATATGGCCCTAAAATTTGGTTTTAAAGGCCCATCAAGGGCAAATTTGACTTCGCCGAAATTAAAAAATATTAATTCATGACTCTTTTATTCAATCCCAGCAAGATACTTGCAACAACAAAAAAAACAATGGGAAAGAGCATTTGGGTCCTTTCCAAATTGGTCCCAAGAGGCCATATTACCCATATTGCTGGGGCAATATAGCCAGGCATTAGGAGAATATGTCCAATACGATATCAACTGCGTCAAGGGCAAGGAAAGGAGTCGGCATCATTACGAAGAATCCACGCGTTCTTGGACCATTGTACCAAACAGCAACAGTACATCCGGCTTTGTCGATAGTGGGAATCCGATTGAAGGAGTCCCCCCGCGATCCTAGCGCAGTGAATGGAGGAACGACGGTTCACCTTTCTGACCTGACCTGATTTTAAGAAGGGTGATCGTCCCGAGATCTAAGTGAACATACAAAGTTTCCTTCGCACGTATGCACAGGGTGTCCCAGAATTCTTGTAACAATTTTTTAATAATATTTTTCTAAGCGGTTTCTTAATTGGCTTATTACATTGATATATTTTTTTAAACAGGTAATCTGAACGCTGTTTAGAGGATGCTTTATACCCTATATCTTAACTTTTGCTAATAAAATAATAATAAATATGACAAGAATTTTGGGACACCCTGTACAAGAAGATAATAATTTTAAAAAAAAATAGTAAGCATTTTAATTTAAGGTACGAGGGACATTCACCCGCATTAAAATTTCATGCCACGAAATTTCCTGGAGTACATCCAGCGGGTGACCAGAAGAGATTGCATGCGGATATCCAGCGGATGTGCATGGGATAATCTCATGCTGCCTGAGATTGCACAGAAAAGGAAACACTCGGTACTTAGTTTCCATGAGAAAAGGTAGTGACCATATTCCCCCATGCAGACTTGTGTGACGAAGTTGACCGGCCGGCAAACCGCAAGAGGGCTGAAACTTTCCACAAGCATTCTGGATGGACCGTAAAATAAAGCCTTGGGAGGAATTGGTTTCTGTAACCATGGTGCTATTAGGAAATATGAACCTACGATGTTCAAGGTTCACATTAGTTAAGTCAACCTGATAGTTGCATGCGATTGTTCAACTTAACTTTTGAAAACATTTATGTATCCCGTCTTCCTGAGCGAATTTAATCGAGGATAACATTTCGGCTCTTACCTAGTCCAATTTTCAAAATTCGTCCGAGCTATTGCGAAAGCCTGTTTTGGGGAAATACTGTGAAGGGTCAATGGCCATATGGTCTCCAATGGCCATATTGCCCCAATGGCCATACTCTCCCAATTCACCCTATGCGGTGGCAAAAGCCACTCCATAAAGTGGGGTGGCTTTTGGCTCGATGACACTAACAAAAGAGAATTGTAGCTTCCGGGCCTTCTTGATCTACTTTTCTCAACAGGCAAAAAAAAAAAAAAAGCATCGGACACCCTGGATACCCCTCGGTGCCGAGGGAAACGAGTCCACGACTGAATGATTTCATTTATTCATTGGAGCCGACACAATCCAGAATTTCTTGAATTCGAGATTCCGTAATATATGGAATATTGCAAGGACGAAACTTCAAGGATCGCCAATGCGATATTTAAAAAAAAAATTGAGAGGAAAAAAAGTCCAGCCGTGCCCTATAAATGTGGCTAACCGAATTGGCTGCGGCTGTTGGTTATTTCATTTGATCGATTTACAGTGGGGCAATCATCATTAAAGTGGGGAGGGTAAGCTCATCAACGCAGTAACTTGAAGAAAAAAAAAAGTTTGAGTCCCAGAGAAAATCGCTACCTTCCATTTTCGCGTGCTAATCCAAATTATTTATGCTTTCCTACTTTTTTTGGGTGGGGAGGGGCCGTAACTTGGTATATATGATTCTTACGCTGTTTCGTGCGTCAGGTTTCTGGATGAGGGGAGGGTCCGTTTCGGGAATTTTTGTTTACTTAGTCTCAGAAGGAAACTGACAACATTTTTTCCGACTCTTTGGAGTCCACTGAATGGTCGCATGTTGAATACACAAGGCCATGAATCACGCAGCCAGAGAGATGCACATTTGTTTAATTACATGCTAATCCTATTCCTACGCAAATGAAGCTGACAGCTTGAGAGAAAAAAAAAAAGCATGAGAACTCGTGCAAAAATTGTGCACCCATTGACCGAAGTCGGAGACCGACCCACCCGACCCGATTCCTCAACTCGAACGCATCTACACTCCCCTTCCATCGTCGGTCGGTCTCGATGAGCTTCGCCGATTTTTTCCCCCCCGACAGATCATGGCAGTGTACGGAGAGCCGCAGTGGGCAGTGGTGGGCGACACCTTCCCCGTCGGCTGCGCCTTCGCCCCGTCCATCGTCTACCGCGAGGACTCCTTCCACCTCAACCCAGACTACAACCACCCCAAATACAAGTTCGTATGCAGGATTAAGCCAAAAAAAAACTTTCAACCTTTACGCATCCACCGAAGCCTTTTATTTTTTTTTGTATTTTTACGAAACTTGTACTGTGGATAGACTGATATTTTCCCGACACCCCTTTGTAATTTCATGCAAATTTGTTCCGCCGAAGCCAGGTCATGAACGACGAACAAAAATGAAACGGAAATGGAAACGGATGAACGCCAGCCCCTGTAGTGTGACAAATCGACAAGGAGTGACAAGACTCCGCACGTGCATCCACTTCCTCCCCCCTTTTCCATATTCAACTTATTTTGAATGTTTTGCTCATGGCCTCGGCATGACGAGTTTTTATGGCAACTCGCATAAAAACGTATCAGCCTCCGCACAATACAAATTTCTTGGAAATAGCAGCAGTGCGAGTAAATTTCCTTCGAGATAAAAAAGAAAACCGAACAAATGCAACTCACCTAAGGTCTTCTCCCCGCAGAACACCGACTGATTTCTGCCATTTTCTGCCATTTTTTTCCGCACCAGGACGAAATACGGGACGTACAGCCCCAACTGCGGTCTCGACGACGTGCTCATGTCCTGGGGACACGACGAGTACATGTACCAGGTCCTCGTCCACAACAAGTCCACCTTGCCCGAAGAAGCCCTCTACATCATCAGGTACTTCTTTCCTGCCCCACGAATCAATCACAATAAACTGCATTTATAAATAAACAAATAAATAAATAAACATAAATAAATAATGAGCTCTCTCTCCTCGCAGATACCATTCCTTCTACCCTTGGCACGACGGCGGCGATTACATGCATCTGTGCAACGAGAAGGACCTTCGCATGCTCCCATTCGTCAGGGAATTCCAGTACGTTTCCAAATTCTCCCCCCAAATTTAAACAAACTCATCCGCGACCTTTTCTTTCATCCCAGGAAATTCGACCTGTACACGAAAAGCGAGTCGATCCCGGACGTGGACGCGCTGCGGCCGTACTACCAGGGCCTCGTCGACCGATATTGCCCCGGGGACCTGGAATGGTGACGGGATTCTCTTCCTTAGCAATTCCTTTATTTTACCTCGTTCTTCGAATACGGACCAATAAAGTGTTTGCTGAAAAGTTTTTTTCCTCGGTAGAATTAATTCCTAAAACGAGTGATTGCATGCCGAAAAATCGGTGTCCGAAATATAAAAAAAAAACTTGACGGCACACGACTACTATGCTGTAATGCATATGCATTACATATAATGTAATGCATTAGCACGAGCGATGCTACAACGACCAAACTTTGGGCATTCATTGGAGACATAGAGGCATGCAAATGACGAATCGCTCGCCGATATCTGACATCCTGGTGGCGCGATACAATCACGTGACGGCCACGTGACATACTGGGTGGCCACTAAGTCCCTTTGCATTAAATATATATATTTTACTGTATTTCCAGATGGGGTTTCAACATGGCAGACATTAGTGAGCTTACGAAAGAGACCAGACAAATCATGAGGAAATAAGAACCAGACTTTCAAGTGGAATTATCAAGGAGAATACTTCACAGCGAAAACTGACAAACATCGAGGAACTCAAAACAGCTGTCCAGAACTGCTTTTACAGTATACAAGCCTTCCACTTAGGAGAATAAGTCAAGAATAAATCGGGCCCAAATCCAGCTGCGTGCTGAGAACGTAGCTGTTCGAATAGAAGTACCTTTTTTTCCCATGCAAAGGGACTTTTACCCTGTAGAAGGGTTCAAGGTCGCTGGGAGCATCCTTCGGCAGTTGGTGTCAGGCCGTCCTAACTGCAATGCGGTCACATTATTGCATAAGGGATCGTTATCGCTCATTCTAGGTGTTCAAATTTTTTTTTTTTGCCGGCAGTGTGGTCCATCTCATTTTATTTGGGGGGGGGGGGGGGGGGGGGGGGGGTTCTGCCGGCAAAAAAAAAAAATTTGAACACCTAGAATGAGCGATAACGATCCCTTATGCAATAAGGTGACCGCATTGCAGTTATGACGGCTTCCTTGACGTTAGTGGATGCGATTGCACTTTTATCTTCATATGAAAAATTAAATTTCTCGTAAATAAAGAAAACAGTACCTCGAAGACTGTTTTTGTTTTGAAGAGACAGGTGAACCGGATGCTAAAGAATATGTGTGCGACATTTCACTGCTTCATTAAGCGGTTTCACCGTTACAGCACCGAAAGGCAAAGAAACGACGAAATGCAAATTTCCGTCATGCAAAAAAAAAAAAGAATGCATCGGCTACGTCGAAGGCATATGTTCACTAATGGACTTCTCTGGTAATCTGGCTTGAGCAAGAAACACATCGTCAGACAAATATTAAATAAACTCAAATGCAGTTGAAAATGTGTAGTGATGAGCAGTGGCGTATTTTATGGGGGCAGCCCCTTTCTGGGGGCAACACCGAAACAACGGCGACCGAAAGAAGAGAAAACCGAATATGTGAACTTCGAAAAGAGGTCGTTCGTAAGGAAAGACCGAAAGTGGCTCCAGACGTCTGAACAGATAAGGGGGGGGGGGGGGGTCCCCTGAACTCTGTGTCCTTGGCACGGTCTTCCGTGTCATAGTTCACCTTCACCCTGCGGCATCGTGGAAAAAGGAAAAAAAAAAGGAAAGAAGGAAGTCAGTCACCGTTGGCGCAGGGGAAGCATGTGGCCGTAATCGACTGCATTCTTGTGCATAATAAAGCTAGGGAAGCTTGGCATGGGCGCTTTGAAACATTCCCGAAAAAAAGCACAAGCTGGTCTCTTCCATTCCATAACGGAAATGTAAAAATGGAACACAAAACAGGAAATGGAAGGGCTCATCGCAAGACGTAACCTTCCAAATCCCCCAAAAATTAGTTTTAGCTTAATATTTGCAACTTGAAAAAAAAAACTTGTAGCTTAAAAACTTAATATTTTCAACTTAAACGTGTATGCGTCAAGGAGGGGCCAATCGTTTTTGCGGACAGAATGGCGATTGAATTGCGCATTAAAGTTGAAAATGAAGCGCAGGATGAGCGCTTGAGCGGTCATCGTTTAGCATTTCGAACGTTCCTCTGTTTCGGTGATGTGAGCCATTTTTTTTTGCCACCAGGGACCCCTTGGCTCAAATTAAAATAACAAATTAATTTAAAATGAAGAGAAGTGAACAGTGAACAAAGACAGAAGGTGACAGCAGCTGGAGTTTTCATAGACATGAACAAGGGCGAAAATGATGCTTTTTGAATCCTGAAGGGAAAAAAAAGCATAAAAGTTAACTGTTGAAAAGTTAAGTCGTAGAACGTGGTACTTAAACAATACTAAATGATAATTACGAGAGACGTCGCCCCATAATCGGTACTATTATTGGATCACAAGTTTTCTGTTCTGAATTTTCAATGAACCAGTAAAAAAAAATAAAATAAAATTTAATGCATCAGCAGCAATATTGGTTCTAGAATACATGCAGTCACGAGTTACTTTTCGTTTAAATAATTACAGAGTCCACACGCTGAGTAAAACGAGCAAAATTCAACACAATCCAAGCTAATGAGTGACATGCACCAGATTCTCTTTAACTCAAACTAATCTGATCCCACAATAGTTCTCGATGGGAATCCGTTTGACGGCCATAATCTTATTCCCATAGACGCCCATTATGAAACCAGATCGGTTTAAAGTTAAACGGACCTTTGGCAACGAGCGAGGGAAAACAATATTGGCGATGGATTCAGGTTCAGGTTTCACGGCAGTTTCGGCTTCGTGCCACGACCTGCAACGCTCGATACGTACTCACATCGATGGAGAGAGGTCAGAGACGTGGGATCTCACCGTAGTGAGGCCCTTGGAGAATACAAGCTGGAATTCGTACCGAGGAAATGGCATCGTCGGCTGGTGCACATCGCCGGTTCCTTGCTTTCTTGGTTCGAGGCTTTCTCTCCTCACGTCATGCGAACACGTCCTCAAACCCTTCGAGGAAAGCATTTTTCGACAAGAGAGTCGAACCAGGAAAAAGGGGGACGCACTTGGAATTGCGGCTGAAGGGTGATGCCCTTCGACCCTTGCAACGCCCTCGTGGGGATTGCAGGCTTCTGCTCTCTAGCCAATCTCGTCTGGCTCGTGACGTCATCTTTTTTGATGGCGCTGTGCATGGGGCCACGTGGTTGCCTTTTACGCGCTGTTGGGTTGAGGAATTGCTGGAACAGAGGAGGCGAGAATGGAGGAATTCGTGAGGAAGCACAAGGAATTGCTTTCCTTAGAGAGAGAGGCAGAGGTCGAGGAGACGAAGGTTGCACAGGAGACCCTGGGCATCAAAGAGCTCGAGCGACGGGGCGTTCGCATTGCGAAGTTGTCGGTTGATTCTGTGAAGACAGGCCTGTATGGGAGGACACTTGTCAAGTTTCATCGATCGCATGGGAAACGCGACTCGGCCGTCCCCTTGCCTCCTCATCAAATATCGCCAGGTCTGTCCAGGGAGTCTCTCTTGATGCCTAGTAGTAGAAGTTTGCTCTAGACTTAAGGTAGGCCTAGGCCTGAGTTGCTAGAGTAATACTCAAGATCATTTACTGTGGTCAATTTTTCAGGGGATATCGTGGGAGTTTACTCCAATGAAGGGGCCCTGACATGTTCAGGAGTGGTGAATAAAGTGACTGAGGTTGCTGTTACTGTTGCCTTTGATGAGCCTCCTGATTCTCTTGAGGATGCTGGTACCTGGAATCTTCAGAAACTTGCAAACGATGTCACATACAGAAGGCTCAAAAGGTTCCTTAGATTCTACTGCCTAGGCAGTTTATGGCATGGATTCACTAGTGCCACCGCCTAATTCAGTGTTTTAATTTTTCTCTGTCCTTCAGAGGTTTGGAAGACCTGTCTCGCAATGAATCCCATCCATTGGTGCATCTTCTCTTTGAAGCCTCTGAATTGCCTCCACCTGCTAACAGTCTTCCACCAACTCTTCTGGGTGAAGGAAAAACCTTGGAATGGTATAACCCTGGACTGAATGCAGAGCAAAGAGAAGCAGTGGAATTTAGCCTGAAGAGCACACGATTGGCAGTGATTCATGGTCCACCAGGAACTGGAAAGACCACAACTGTCATAGAGGTCATCCTGCAAGCAGTCAAAGCTGGCCTCAAGGTCTGAAATGTTGTAAACTCACATAATAAGGATGTACCAGTATTGATGACTGTCATCAGCCCTATTCATTATCATATGGGTCACATTTGTACCAACTCCACACTTAGGCTTCTTGAAATCCCAGTTGCATATGTGTGAAATTTCTTTCACTGACTTTAAGGGTGTAGAACAAAAATGAGAAGCTTGCAAGGAACAATGACATGGGGGTACAGGTGAAATTTTGCACTTGATCTCATATTCTTTCTTTGAAGCAGTTCTTTGAAGAAGTCTAGACCTTAGAGCAAAGCAAAGTGCTGAAAGCAAAGCATGTCATTTCAAGGTTCATGCCCTTCAGGTCTATGGCTTTGGGATACAGCCTGTTCCCTTTAGTCTCCAAAGATATACCTTGTCACGTAGCACATAGCTGAAGATGAGAGGGATTTTTATTCCCAAAGGGAGAGAGAAATGAAATGTGGGGGGAATGTGAAGATGAAGCTAATGTGTGATTCCTAATGCTAACTCTATCTGGAAAACATTGGAGTGCATGACTTCTGACAGTTTTAATATGGCCCAGAAAGTGTCTCTGTTGGTACAATCCTAGTTGACCAATCTCTTCCTTTCCCCCAAGTATGAGATGTTCCTGAGAAGTATGATCACTCCTTGATGAAATAAATTACAGCTGCCTATTTTTTGACAGGTCCTTGCAGCTGCTCCTTCCAATGTTGCAGTGGATAATTTGGCCGAACGCCTGACTCCTCGCGTGCGGAAGTTGGTACGACTCGGCCACCCGGCACGAGTGACCAAGGGTGTGCAAGGTATCTCCCTTGACTCCATGCTTTCCAGAAGTGAAGACTTTGCCTTGGTCCAAGATGTTAGACAAGAGATGGATGCCCTAACTCGCAAAGTATTGAAAGCCAAGGATCGATTCCAGCGGCAGAAGTTGCAACGGGAACTGAAAACCCTCAAGAAGGAGTTCAATGAACGAGAGAAGGAGGCATTGAAGAGGCTGCTGAAGGGTGTTCATGTTGTCCTTTCGACACTCACTACAGCTTCTGATGATGGTCCACTTAAGCATGTACCTGAAGGTCACTTTGACGTTGTGGTCATTGACGAGTGCTCCCAGGTAGGCCCATGTTACCTTTCACTATTCATCCATCTCAGTGCAAATTATGCTGCTAAACTCATCACTCCTGAAGGCATTGGAGATGGCTTGCTGGCTTGCACTCCTCAAAGCACCAAAGGTGATTCTGGCTGGTGATCATCTGCAGCTCCCACCAACTATCATCTCTGACAAGGCAGCCAAGTTAGGATTAGCTCATACCCTCATGGAACGTGTGATCAACAAGTTTCAGGAAAAGGTTTATTGCATGCTGACGATGCAGTATCGCATGAACTCACTCATTATGGACTGGGCTTCCACCAACCTTTATGAGGGAAGACTTTGTGCTCATCAGTCTGTTGCTGAACACCTCCTCAAGGATCTCAATGAGGTTGAATCTAATCCAGACACAGGTAAAGTGGATGACTGCTATAGAAAGATGATTTTGTCATGTTTATGCTGGCAAAACTTATGACATAATAGAATTGTGATATTTTTTTCCTCTTTGTGAAGATAGAGTTTAGACAAATTGATTACACAGTGAATTTATGCTATTGTGTTATTGAATTATGTTGCATTTTGGTAAAAGTAGAGAAGCTCATAAATATAGATGTTGAAACTCCATTTCAGGATGCTCACACCTTGTTATAATGCATAGCTTTGCATAATGATCTCTCTTTTTTTCTCTAATTTTTGAACTGGAATAGGGCAAAGCTAATGAAATGGATATTGTGGAGGCACAAGTCAGACCCAATGATACCTAAAAATGAGAGAATATCATAAGTGATGAAACTGTAAATCCACTGAACAGAACTGCATGACCACTGACCGAAAATCTTGAGTTTGTACAAGCATTCACTCTCCTAATGGATTCAAATAGAAATTGAATGTGGATGATGTCTGCAAATAAGTACACTTGGACTAGATTGGTGAGATCTACAAACTTGCCAATCTGATCTGTATTGGCAGAGGCTGCCCTGGTGTTCATTGACACAAGCAACTGTGACCTCCATGAGCTGGAACTTCCTGATGAGATGTCACGAGGTAATGAGGGTGAAGCTGACCTTGTGCTGGCTCACCTCAAGGCCTTGATTCAAAGTGGGGTCAAGGCAAAGGATATTGCTGTGATTGCACCATACAATCTCCAGGTGAGGAATCTTCAAATCAAAAAATCAAATTTAAAGTAACAGTAGGAAATATGACAAAGTTGTGGGATTTTTATTTGACAAACAGCCTCAATAGAGTCCTCTGATCCTGAATCAACCCCTCTGAAAAAAATATGATCACTGCCATGTATGGGTAGGGTGAGACCTGAGAAGGTCTAAAAACACTACCTCTCCTTTGTCTGTCAGGTTGAACTGATACGAATGCGGATGGGGGAAGCATATCCAGGATTGGAGGTGCGGACTGTGGATGGATTCCAGGGTCGGGAAAAAGAGGCAGTGATACTAACATTGGTTAGAAGCAATCCTACTCATACTGTTGGGTTCCTAGCAGAGAGGCGACGCATAAATGTTGCCGTTACGCGTGCGCGGCGGCATCTGTGTGTCATTGGAGATGCAGAGACCATATCAAATGATCCTTTCATGAAGGTATTCATTGAGTACCTTCAAGCTCATGCAGATATTCGGCTGGCATGGGAATATGAAGCAGGTCAGATTCTTGGATGCCTACTTTTCATTTAACTTTATTTCTATCTTAATTATCTGTTCTTATCATCACCAGAGCTCCAGACTGGGACGTGCTTGAGACCTTCATACATTGATGGCATCAAGGCCAAGGTGCCTGACAAGAAACCTAAGCAGAAGCCTCCATCAAGCAAAAACCTGTCAAAAACAGAGAAACCATTGAAGCCAGAGTTCGCCCCAAAGCATCCTAGCACAGAAGAAAAAAACCAAGAGGAGAAGAAGAAGCTGGAAGATGAGATTTTGAAAACACTGACATCCTTCAAGGTATCATCAGATTGTGCATATAGTTTCCCAGCCAGTCTGTCATCATATGAACGACGACTGGTCCATGAGATTGCTGAAAAGCTGGATCTCAATCATGAGAGCCAAGGAGAAGGCCTTGAGCGATTCATCGAAGTCAGAAAGATGATACTAGAAGGTGGAAGGATGGAGGGTGAACACCAGTCTCCTAGAACAGAAGCAACACATGAACAGAGTGTACAGGAAAGCAATGGGGCTGAAAGTGATCCACAGCAGAATGAGCAACTTGATATTAACAATGAAACTGTGATATCTGGGGCCTCAAGTGACAGATGTTGTGAATTGTGTGGGAAGAATATTCCACAGCAGAATTGGGACCTCCATACCCTACACTGTCATAAACACAAGAAGGCTGAAGCTACAAACCCTTTAAGTGAGGCTAAAAAGGTGGGGAAAAGGAAACAGAAGAAGCTGGTGAAGAAGGAAGAGCTCCCAGCCGACGACACCGACCTGGATGCTGTGCTCAGTGCCTTTATGCAAATGGACAGTGTGTGCAACTTGAATGGATGCAAGCGAAACACTTCCATGATGGGTCAGCAGTGCAGTCACTGCCGACGGTGGTTCTGCTTCAGCCATCACATCCCCGAGGTGCACGGATGCGGTGATGCAGCACGGGCCGAAGCGAGGCGTACGGCCACCAAGGAAGCCAGCTCCCTGGCCAAGGAGAGACAAAGCACTGAAGCAGGATTGAAGAAAGACAAGCCATTGGACCCACGGCAAAGGGCCTACGTTCAGAAGAAGCTCAACCTCAAGTTGGATGAATATTCCAAAAAGAGGCAGCCCAACAAGAAGCACTAATATTTTTATCAAAATTATATTTTGTGTAGAAGTTGACTTTGATATTCTGTGGAAGTTATGATTGTGTTATCTGTGTCACTGTCACAAATAAAACTGTGCCTCTAACTCCAGAGATGGATTATTAACAAAGTGGAATTACTAGGAAGACAATATTTTCATATCAATCTGGAATGAAAATTCATCAGCATGCACGAACATCCCCCTTCATTTACTTTCTCACTGGTGTTTATAGCACTATTTCTTAATTTTGGGAATTTCTTCTTTTAGGAATTAACGCCCTGAGATCATGAGATCAACTAAAGAACATCCTGATGCAACTTGAAACAACTTGATGCCCATCACAGAGACACAGGTTCTGGGCAATTTGAACGAGTGCAGGCTCTTGACGACCAACAGCTATTCGCATCCCCCCCTTCAGATGCCCTGGCTTCCCATTGTGCCACTGATGATCCCTCCATTTCAGGCACCCTTGATGCACCTCTAGCAATGAGTAACTCTTGAGGCAAGGAATGTGGCAGATTTTCAATAGGCACACCTTCACCACTTCCTATAAGTTATAACTGTACTTAAACTTAGTTGTTTTCTGGAAATCCAGTCATGGGAAGCGGTACTTATATCATTTGTTGGAAAAATTTTTATAAAGCAGTTTATATCGTGCGGAAATTTTTTATTTATTTCTGTGAGAAGAAAAAGAGAAAAACCCGAAAAATAAATTTTCCAACTTCGAGACCAACCATCAATCACATCCATCTGAAACTTGACCATCTTGAAGTTGATTATTCCTACAGGTGAGCATCATCGTTGAAGCACAAAGCTGGGGATCAAGACTCTCCGCTACGAATCTCGAGATCGGCCGAAAACGTCGGCGTTTTTTGGGGCGAATCATCGCGAATTTTTGAGTCAACTCGAACAGTTGCTCATCGCCAGTCGAGACGAGTGCCGATCCTGAGCCAGTATCGAAAGAATCACTAAATTAAGCAATGTCGAGGAGAAAGAACGGAAAATCCCTTCCTTTGCATTCTTCATGTTGTGCCTTGTCTTTCGATACAAGGACAATATCATTGAACTGACAAACCGTCACATAACCATCGAACTTGTGCCATGCACCATCCATTACACGGCTATGAGTCACGCCGCACGTTGGCGGCAAATATTTAGCTGCGTTTAAATACTGTTCGATAAAGTTTGCGGCACGTATGCCACTTGGCGCTAAATTCAGGATTTATGATGGAAAAGCAAAATGGTGTTGGCGGCTTGCGAGGGTGGCGGTATATCGAGGGTTTTTAATGCAATTTCTTGTATGATCCTGGTTTTTTTTTCTTTTATGAGGCCAAATTCCTCAGATGAAGACCTTCCTGGCGGGAAAAGGGTCCCTTGTTTGGTACGTACATATTTTTTTAAACTCAAGACAGGATAACATGCTTATCACACTTCCGGCTGAACACCGTTGAGCAGCGCTCACCCGATCCGAACCAGACAATCGAGTCACTCGTATTCGTCCTCGTCCGAGCCTGTGATCAGCATGGATTAGTTTTTCATTAGATTAGATGGATTAGATTAGATTTTCAGCACTTCCATCGTAATCCCCGGCAAGGTCACCGTTAGGAATCTAACGTCACCTCTCACCCTGCTTCGCTCCATCGCATATCACCGAAAGCGGGAAAAATTCAGCGCAATGATTCACCTGGCCGGTGCAAGCGCAAATCGCAGAACGGCGTAACTGCCCATTTCGACATGAAATCTTTCGCAAAAGTCGGTCGTCGAAAAACGATGTTCGGGCGTTTTGGAAAAAAAAAAATTTTTCCTTCGGAAAGCTTCACATCCACGGATTTGGATTACATGCAAATCTATTCCAAGAGCCGCCGTATCACTCGCATCCGTACGAGATTCGGTTGCGATCGTGCAGCTAGGGTGGAAACATTCCAATATTTTGCCGATGGGATAACCGACCCAGGTTCCGAGGTGACGAAGGTTTCGGGTACTTCCTACTCGAGCAAGTACCCGAAACGATCGACTGGCCGTCGAACGGTCCCGACGTCGATCCGATCGTGTTCGATCCTCGAACAGCGTGTCGAGAAGCGGAAACCATCAAATCTCCACGAACTAGACAGATTTCTGCACGAAGAATCCACTTGGCCACTCCAAATCATTAGGTCGAGTCGATGAAAGCGCGACGTTTGGCTTTCATTGACTCGAAGAGGATCGACTATTAATTGTGACACTTTTCTACTTTGTTCCATGCTTTATCTGTGAATAAAATTGACTTATCAATAGACTTATCAGCAGGCGTCACGATGCAGCCCGGCTTCCGGCGTTTCACAGGGTGTGCTCAAACCAGCCGCAGAAGCAGTCTCGATCGGACAATCGAGTCCTCCAGATTCCCCTTCTCGTCCGAGTTGTTCATCAACATTTCTCTTGGGATGTATGAAGCACTTAGCCGTGGGGCCATCATCGGTAAGTGTCTCATCCTCGCCTCTACTGAGAGTTTCTATTTTCAGATTCTATCGCAAATCCGGAACAGGAAAGAAACTTCCAGCGATATCAGAAGGAATTCCGCTTCTCTTCAAGGCTTTTAATTCACATAAAGATATGGGGAATACCATCGTCCTACACGATGGAAGGTAGAAATCCCAAATCCCACAGGACGTTTATGGAACGTGGGAAACATCTTAAGTCCATTGCATACCGATTAAACGATCATTACTTGAACTGCCGTAACTTTTTTTGGCATGATTCGAAATTTCTAAATGTGACAAAGGCAGCAAGGATACCTTTTCAAAGACATAACTTTTGGATAACCTTCATCCTGTTACATTAGAAGTAGCTTTGGTTTAAAGAGTAGAAAATTGTTAGTTTCTAACCTTTAGATTTGGTTATTCCAAGTTTACATGCTTAACCCATGTATGCCTGCATATTTACGGGTTGAGGTTTTTGTGCACTGTAGCATGGGCGTGACATTCAGCAGTAGTGTATTCCTAATGGAGGTAGGGTGGGCCCGGGCCGACCCTGCACGGGGCCAGCCAGGGTGCAGTTCTTGCATTATATTAACTCGCAATGCTATGGCTTCACGATGGGGGGAGTTGCCTTCTCCAAAGATTAAGCAAGTCTAAACTCGCATGTGATGAGTTGATAGTCTGACGGTATTGACGGGGGGGGGGGGGGGGGGGGGTGAAAATCTTGTATCCAGGAAGAAAATTACAAATTTCAAGACAAATGCACTTACGAATACTTTGGGTGAAATGCACCAATTGCGGAATCGGGTCAGTTTTCTTCTATAATGTTTTTTATTATTTATTTTTGTATATATTTGTTTACATGAGGGAAAATTTCATGTTTGATGGGAATTTTGGGCTCCCCCGCTACTGCGGGGGCTGCTAGGGCGGTTGCTACGCCACTGCATGCCTACCTCAGCGATTATTACAAAATTAAGATTCAAATTTGCATAAATCAGTACTGTCTCTATCAAATTCATTTAATGGATCCCTCAAAAGCTAAATTAAACCTCATATTTTAATTTGATCAAATTAAGAATAAATCTACGCAAATGTTGCAACTGAACCTTTCTAAGCATACTTTGGAACATATTTTTAAAATGAACATATGGTTTTATCCTGGACATTGCCTCTGAAACGTCAAACTATGCTATTATAGAAAAGCCTCCGAGTCGCCAAAAAAAAATCACTCCCGAGGGCATGGCGCACGCTCCAAAACCACTCCTCGACAGATTAAGAGTGAAGTTTCCTCTCGCCATCAGCGTTACCGTTAGGAGTCTGGGTTCACGTTCAAAATGTACGACCACTCAAATTTATGAGATGGTTGACTGCCATACTCCATTTACCGCGTCCTAAGAAGCAATTCCTATTTCAGTTCCTCACAGTTACAATTTTTTAAATTTAATTTAAATGAAAAATAAAAATGTTATTATTTAATTCAACACCAAATCTATACTATCATACATTAAAATAAGTTGAGAAATTTTGTTGTTTGTGCAGCCTTTGCCTTTTGTTGGTGGTGCACCTCGAAGAGGTAGGCTTGGTAGCCCATAAGCAGATAAGCCTTTACTTTTCCAGATCAAAGGCTTGGCAGTCTATAGACCTTCGAGCCTTTTCCTTTCCATGCCATAGGCTGGGCGTATTTCGTGATTCGTCCATGTAGCTGTTGGACCTACAAGCCTTTCCAGGACCTAGGCTGGGTGGGGTGGGTTAAACAGCTTAACAATATGCGAAGCGGCGAGGATGCGTAGGTCCGCACTGACTGATGAGCAACTTGGAGATGTTAATGCCGAGAGGAGAGCTGCATTAATTGTAGAACAATTGTAGTAATTGAGTAATGATTCATCACCAGATTTTATTATTTGGTCACTCAATGAATTTACATCACCAAATTCTTATCACCATCACCAAATGATTTCATCACCAAACCTAATGAACCTTACACCAAATGTCCCTTAGTATTTTCACCAGATGCAATGAAATGACCACCAAATTTTACTGATTTAGCACCAAATCATTGTCACGTTTCATGCGTCAAAAGAAATAAAATTTTCTTTTAGCGAGTCTGCAGGGCAGAACACACTCAACTACTCCTATACGTGTGCACAAGTGCAAGGAGACTGGTTACACCTGTGATGGTGCAATAATATTTGGTGAAATCAAAAATAAGAATTTGGTGACTGACTCCAATTTGGTGAAGATTCATTGTGATCAGGTGAAGGAGTCAATATTTTTGCTGGCTGAATATATTTGGTGACAAGTTCATTAATATTTGGTGGGTGTTTAAATATCTTTCATTAAAAAAATACCAGTCGACCAGGTCCATTGGGAGTCCCTCGTTCATTTGCCTACCATCGTCTCCCGCATTTTAACAGCTGTGAAATATTTCGTCTTCGGAATGTATCGTTCCACAGCGTTGCATTGTACACAGCAAAGTACGTCGTTCTCGTCTTTTTCTGCAGCTTGGAATGCTGCAAGAATAAAATGCCTCTAAAATATCACAACAGAGATAGAAGTGAGTAGAGGTAAAAACTAAAAAGAAAAAAATTCATTCCTCTAGAAAATTATGGATGCCATAAAATTGTTAATATTTCCTAAGCAAAACCGACACTGAGCGGATTAGGGGAGCGGCACCAGTTAGCAAACGAGGGTCATGAAATGCAATTTAGCCTTTTGTTACTCTAGTTTCACACTCCATCACTAGCATTAATTAATCATTCGATCCATTTTCTGCATGCACCACAAGCGTGTAACTCTGGAAACAAAAGGCCAAATCGCATTTCATGACCCTCGTTCGCTAATTGGCTCCCTGTTCGCCAACTGGTGCCGCTCCCCTATCCGTTAAAGGCAAGAGAACGAGTTTGTTTCCTTGCAGTGGGTGTACAATCTCGTTGCACGCAATTAACTTTACTGTGCATCGGAGTGCATACCATTAAAAGCAAAAACAAATAAGCTGATCACCCCGCCTTCCATATTCTCGGAATACCTTGAGATCTACTTTCCACCATTTCCGGCGATAATCAGGGTCTCACTGTGCATTCTCTTCCCTTGCAGTTAGGAGTAATTTAAAAAAAAATGCATCAACCTCTCGATGATGGTGGGCAAAAAATTCGAACTATTGATGTGAGCAATGAACAAGGTCTATCTGAAAAATTTTTCAGCGAGTTCTTGTTAAATAGATATTTTCTTGGTTCATGTTGCATCATTAATCGATTTTGAAATGATTTCCCAATGCACCATCATGTTACCGACGTTTCTGTCATTCCGTCATTTCATTTTTCTTTCGTAGGTGCACTAGCTGGCGGAACCGTAGGTGCACTAGCTGGCGGAACCGTAGGTGCACTAGCTGGCGGAACCGTAGGTGCACTAGCTGGCGGAACCCTAGCTGCACTAGCTGGCGGAACCGCAGCAATTACGCTAGGTGGAGGATGTCTTTACTATTTGATGATTACACCAGAAATGAAAGAAGAACACAGGCAAAAACTCAGAGATATCTTCGAGAATGGCGTCCAAATTTTTGAAAGAAGTCGGTAATCAATTTTGAAACGATTTCTCAATGCACCATCACGTTACCGACATTTCTGTCATTCCGTCATTTCATTTTTCTTTCGTAGGTGCACTAGCTGGCGGAACCCTAGCTGCACTAGCTGGCGGAACCGCAGCAATTACGCTAGGTGGAGGATGTCTTTACTATTTGATGATTACACCAGAAATGAAAGGAGAACACAGGCAAAAACTCAGAGATATCTTCGAGAATGGCGTCCAGATTTTTGGAAGAAGTCGATAAGCAATTTTGAAACGATTTCTCAATGCACCATCATTTTTTCGACATTTCCGTCATTTCATTTTTCTTTTGTAGGTGTACTAGATGTCGGAACTGCAGCAATTGCGCTAGGTGAAAATCTTTACTATTTCACCACTACACCAGAAACGAGAAGAGAAATTGTGGAAAGATTTACAAATTTGGTCGACACTTCTTTCATGACTGTCATCAGGTGTAAAATCGACAGGGTCGCCACGAAAGTCAAGAACGTCTTCCAAAGAGTCTGGAGAGCCATCAAAAGTCTGGGAACGTATGCCGCCACGAAAGTCAAGAGCCTCATGCCTACATTTCTTGACTACCCTCGAATGTCTGAGAACGCTTGACAGTGCGCAGGGCACGCTTTTTACTGCTGCCTGAACAGAGAGAGGAGAGGCTGAGATGAGATGGTAGCCACTTTTTTCATTGCAATAATAATTTACTTTACATATGTATCGTCAATGTGAAGTAGTTCACATTAAAATGAAAATATATCTGGGATTCATTAATTAATGATGAGACGGTAACCATGTGAGGCTTAACTGTACTGGACATCCAGGCGCCATCTGTGAGGGCGAGAGAATCCGCAGGGCTGCAAGATTCTGCTGAAAATATGTTTACCGTGCATAATTCCAAAGACCTTATTTTCTTCTTTTTTTCACGCATAAATTTCTCTGAATAATTGATGCTGTCAGATTCCTCTCATAGGCCGCCACGACATCGCAAATATACTGCAATAGGAGATTCACGTGAAGATAAGGCATAACATTTCATGGTACTTTCTGACATCCCTGTCTGTTTTTACAATCCCATCTGGAAGGGGTGAAGGGAGAATAGGAGTTAATCCTTGGAATTTATTGCACCAACCTCATCTGTAGGACTTTTATGTCACCCGTCTTCAGTCAAGGACAATCAAGCAAGGACAATGTCGTCAAATCTGGTTCATTTCACGAGGACTGGGATTATCGGTTGAACCGTGGCTCCATACCAAGCGACAGTGCGGGTTTCCGACTTAGTTTGGATTCTATTTTTCTGTGGGCATGTCAGCAGAAAATCTTGTATCCAGGAAGAAAATTACAAATTTCAAGACAAATGCACTTACGAATACTTTGGGTGAAATGCACCAATTGCGGAATCGGGTCAGTTTAAAGACGGGATGAACACGTTTACTAATGTTTAAGTTTAACATGTTTAAGAAAGTGTTTCTTTGACATGCCCCACCGAAAATCATATTAGTTTCGTGAACACATGTAACCCCGACTTAAACACGTTTAAAGCCCTTGGAAAGAGGAAACCTTCGGGATTTGTCTTCATTGAATCATCAAAGAGGATTGAGCTTATCTCTGAAAGTTCGGCAGTCCAGGCGAACCTGGCAGTTTCATTCGGAATCACTTCAAAAACTCCTATCTCTTCATTACCTTCCATTTCCACCGTCGTTGGATGATGAGGCGCAAGAAAAATGAGGCCCACTCCGGCTAAACAGCATGCTGAACCAGGTCAAAAACTAGGGAAACTTTTTTTTTTGTATAATACTTACTATGCAGAAAAGCGAGTTTTCAATTATGTGGCCCACGAACCCGCACCCTACGGGCTATGCGGCCCCCATGACCCAAAACTCTGGGCACCCCTGGCCTAGTCAGTTTTAGTTTTTATCTGGAATTCCAATATCAGGTCGTGGGAAATGGTATTCCTTCCATTACTTTACAGAAAATTATTTATAAAACACTTGCGCCAGGTATGAAGCCAACCCCCTCCCCCCCAAGGCAAGACTTATTCCAGCAGGAAGGCAGCAGTTCGTTTCGCAAAACGTTCACTCACCCTTATCATATCGCAAAGCGGCGCCTCCCAGCGTCCCGTCTGCTTCCTAAACTCACCGCAGACACGGTCCAAATCGCAATCGAGTCGCCCTGATTTCTCTTCCTCGTCCAAGTTTCGGTCAGCATGCCTCTCGAGACGATTGGTGTTACCATCGGCTGTTTATGCGTCGAAGCCACCGGTAAGGGCACCGTTTCCCATCCTCGCTTTTAGTTTACCCTTAGGAATCTGAGGTCGCGTATAAATTTACGACGAATCAAAGTTACGAGGTGATTTGCTACATGCCGTATAACATTTGCCCTTAGAAACAATATCGATGTTGATCCCTCACAGCCCCAAAACTAAGGAAGACTGATCGCAATGTTAGTTCCATCAAGCTCCCCCTATCTTGTTGGCTTCCTACGCACTCCAACATTAACTCAGAATCGTTAAGTTGCTCATCGAAAGGACAACTAAAAGAAATGAGTCGTCTGCTTGGGGCGAAGTATAAATCACAGAAGAGCCTGGGTGCATACTTCTATGCGATATCTTTCGCGAAAGTCATTCATGGTAAACCTTGTGATGGGAAAAAAGATGACTCACTTTCGATCGCTTTGTTCTCTGGAGCTGGCAGCTCATCCGTTACAAGTTTTACGTGGAGATAAAGAGAGGGCCCTGGGGAAAGGGACATGCCCATTGGACGACCGGTTCGATTCCGCTGTTATTTTAGCTAAGAACAAACTTACTGCTTTTCTTATCGCGCAAAGCTCGCACCAATAAACCGCCTTGTTGCAGGAACCCAGACAATTCCGTCTTTTATATAGGTAATTATGGGAGAATAACTGATTTTGCGGTCAGTTCGTCACTTAAATTTCTTTTTCATGCCTTCTATCCGCAGTCGCCTTTGCAACCTGAGAACTCCATGCACTTGTGCCACCTCCAGCTTTATTCGGATTGTCAATCACCGACTAAAACTGGCAGCTCCCTTCCAGCCCCCTCAGCTGGCGGTTCCATAGTTGACAAAGGGAGGGAGCAGCTGCTCGCAGCACTGCGAACAGAATTGCTGGCCGAATCTGAAAATCTCGCATCTAGCATCCTACGTATTTACGACTCTAAGTAAAGAGATAGAACCGGAAGGCGGGGCGTTACGAGATTACGGCCCGCCTCCAGTGTGATACCAACCAAGATGGCTGCATTTAGAAGTCGTTTTGGTTAGTATCAAAGAGGCTCTACTCCATTCACTCCAATGGGATTTTTCTCAGTTTCTCTTCCCAGTTTTCTTGCTACTGTGAACATCAGGGAAGGAAACCACGGTACAAGAAATCTAATTCTTCAAAGTTCGGATAGGGATATCAAGAGGCGCTTCCACCAATTATGATGTCCCGTGTCAATTTAGAGCGTTCGCGTTAGACTTCTTAAAGCAAGTCATGGGAGGGGGAGCCACTTCATGGTCACTTAACGCATTTCACGCATTAACTACCCTACAAGAAAAAAAGACATATCGCAACCTGAGTCTCGCTTGGGGTTTACTCAACTTAAAATCGGTTTTCTCTAGTTCTGTTGTTACCATCGAGTTGGAGGAATCCACCACGGCCCACGTTATCGATTCCCCTGATGTTCTTAAATGCCTCGTTGAGGCCCCCCCCCCCCCTCGTTAGCCTTCTCTCGAGTGGAATTTCTAAACTCCCGGCGGTTTCTAAACGCTTCTCTTATAAAAGTCCTCTGATCTCTTTTCTCATATTCGTGGCTCGCCTCTGAACTCCCTCGAGCGCAATTAGATCATTTATTTGCAGGTCTCCGAAATTGAAGGAGGTAGTACTCTAAATCAGCGGTTCTCGAACTTTTTACGCTGCGCTCTCCCTAGCGACCCTAGCTCGGGGTCGTGCCCCTTTCCCTCTTAGAGGAGTACCTAGAAATTGAACTTGCCTACAGATGCTTTTTTCATACGATGATTGAAAAAAATAGGAAACGGATTTCGACGGTTCACGGACTGAGTCACGGCTATTGTGATGAGATTGTTATGCATATATACAAAAGAGACATTCGCACGAGTGCGTGATAGTATTCGCCACAACATTCATATCCGTGAAACAAGTAAGGGCTACCAGTTTGAACATTTGCTTCCGTGAAAGATAATTCTATGGGTCAGGACATTTGTACCACCTTGTATACTGCAAAAAGTTGATTGATAAAATCCCAAATTCATGAAAATCATGATTGAGAAATCATGAAACGATGCCATCGATTTAGATTTTGGTTCAGGTGTTTTAATTTGATCTGCATATGAGACTCAATCAATCCAGTTGATTTCAATCGGTCTGTCACCTTCCCTTGACATATAAAGAGAAAAATGCAACCAGTACGAAGCTTGTGCAAGATAAAAAGCATTTGAGAAACGTTTTTTTATTATGAATTTCATGCTCTCTAGGATGCTAATTTTTTTTATTATAGGTACGGTCGCACCTATAATACTTGCTGTTGCCAGCGGTGTAGCCATTCCAATCTTGGCCATCGCCATAGCCGGAACCATCTATTACGTGGTGACAACTCCGGAGCAGAAGGCAAGCCACTGGAAGTCGCTGAAGAACTTCTTCAGTTTCGTGTTGGGTGGGAAGATGCACCTGGCATGAAACACGGAGCAGATATTCGTAGGCAAAAAGAGGCAAAATTCTCATCTTTTCTGTTGCCTTCATCCGAAAGTCACCGTTTGAAATGTCGACAATAATTTTTTCACCCATTGATGTCAAGAAGAGAATTTTGTCTGTAAACTTTGCGAGATTTGCAGCTGAAATCCACGGCAATAAATAAATGCTCCTCGACTCAAGGATCTCTTTCAAGGACGTCGACGCATCCGAGCAGGAAGAACAGCGAAACGTCGCAAATACCAGATGCAGCAATCATGACCACTTATTACGCACATTCCTGGTTCCGTTGCGAATGATCACAGAGAACAAGCGGGTGGGCACTCTAAAGAATCCACCATATGCGATATTGCACGAAGACATAACCATCTGATTTTATACCAAGTACACACGCGAACCCCAAGCTGCTCATTGCCTCAGACAGAATGGGAAAAAAACAACCGGAAAGTGAGTTTTCTTTGTGAGGCAGTGTCAGGCAGAAATGTCACGTTTAATGTAGTTTAACATCCCTGCTTTCAACACTTCAAGAAAATGACCTCCAGAAATTCATATCTAATTTTTTTGCCCAGAATTATTACACTTAATACGGCATTTATTCATCTAAAATGTCCACACGAGCACCATGAACGTCCGAGGTATCAGGTGCAGCAAGACATCTTTGTCCTCCTTTTTGGGAGTTAAACTCAACAAATGACCCGTGAATGGCTGCTTTCAGCTCATTAAGGGCTCTGGTTCCGATTTTTGCAACTGCCCCTAAAGTGAATTCCACAGGTCGCCAGCAAAGGGGATAATCGGCAGTACGAAACAGTTTCGCGGATGTCGTGGTTCTCCGACTCAGAAATAAATAGCAATCAACATCACAAGATATGCTGTGGGTATAACCGAGACCTCATGAACTCGATCAAGCGATTTGGAAATGGTGAATAATATCATGGCAGGGGAAGAATATGGGTCCATTTCTTCTAAAGAATTTGTGCTATACATTTGGATTGTATCGAGTATAAATGCTAACGTTATCGTAAAGAAGAACCATTCGTCTCGACCAACGGCGGAAAGGGAATAATTGTGATAGGGTCATGCACCCAGGCTAGAGTTCACGCCCCTTCACTTTTTCTTTCCCCTCTCCTCGCCCCCAACCCCTGGCAGCCAGGATATAAGAGGACTACCTGACTCGCCTGACTCCTGGCCTGACAACACCACCTGGTGGCTGGCCGCGGACCAACTCTACCGTCTGAAACCTCTGCCCACTACATCTACCCGTGTGCTTCAATCAACATCTGCACCAGCTCAACTATTTCTCTTCACTCTTCTATGTACATGTCGTATGCAAGTTGAACTTGCATGCATTCTTTCTTATGCAAGTTAACACACACGATGGACTTTAGTGCAAGTTCAGGAGGGATATCTAGACCCCTAATGATATACAGTTAGACGATATTTATCGAGAATAAGACTTACTTGTAGTGCTCCTGGTCTTGGAAAAACGATAAGGGAGGTGCCTTCATCCTATCGCCTTCACTGACAGCCTTATTCTCTCACCTTGTTCAGTGCGATACAAGTGTGAGTGAACGTTCTCGTTCTTCAACAGCTCCAGTGGTTTTCGTCTGATTAATCCTCCTTCAAATGCGTGATAATGGGCACGAAATGATCAGTTCAATGATTATCTGTTGGAGCTCAAAGAGTCTCCAAAAGTCCAAGTCTCCCAACAACATAGTGTTCCCGATAGATAGATACGAGGGGCTCGTCGCGGAGGTCAAGGCTACAAAGATCAATGAGAAGAAAGCCCGGCTGGAGCATGGGAAAACCATACTCAAGCACTAGGACGTCCTAGCCTTCGAGGGATGAAGAGAAGCTTATGAGAAAGGCGAACGATCGGTGGCGTATTTTGGCTGAAGGGTCGGGGGTAGGGGGGAGCGCCAAACTCCATCCAAGCGATATCAGGGGAAAAAATTATTACCTCCAAAGGGGTGCCAGACTCAGTCCCAGGGGCACAAGGGTGGGGGGGACAGCTGCCCCCCCCTTAACAGGTTGACTGCCACGAGGCGCATCGGTGCGCCTCACTGAATGGGAAAATCAATAGGCCAACATTTCTGTGGCGGTCAACGTGTTAAAATGTGCCACTGCGAACGATGCATCTAATAAAAAAAAAACAAAAGGTGCAAGTGCGTAGCCAATAATACTCAGTGCAACTCTCGATGCCACGGGTCATGGACGTGTTCCAGCAAATGAATAAACAAGGTGTGCTTAACAGAAAAGACTTGAATGCAGACATGGACAAAGTTGTTACAGATTCCTTAATCATGGACAATTTGACATCATGAAGCAGTTACTTGATTTATTCATTAGGGTGACCAACTAATTCATATCATGGTGTTTGACATGCTGGCTCGAAAATAAAGCAAGTGTCGGTGGCCGAAGGCATACGATCATTATTCTGGCCGAGATGAAGTGCTTCTCTGAACTTGCACGAATATTTGCAATCCGGGGTTAACATGAACAAGGGTTTGCCCATGCTAGTTCAACCTGCGCGCAGTGGTGGACTGCTCAAGTTAACCCACGACGATTTGGCCGTGCAAGTTCAACTTGCACGATGAATTACCATGCAAGTTTAACTTGCACGGCGGGGTCAACTTGCATGCTACATATATACAACCTCAACGCACTCTACCCTTTTGTAAAGGGAATACAGTGAAAACTCGTTAACTCGAAATTTTAGGGACCGGGCAAATCGTTTCGAGTTATCCGAAGTTCGAGTTATCAGGAATCGCCCCCCCCCCCCCCCCCCCCCCCCCCC